ATAATGGTGTAAGTCTTCCAATTCTTCAAAGGAATTCCATCAAGACATGATCCGCGAGTTCGTGTGTACTGTTTGTATATATGTGTGGTGTATCATATCAATTGGTGTTCTTTGGACTCATTGTGTTTACTCGTTGTTTTCGTACCTTGTTGTTATTGCATAATTTTGTTAAAACTTTCGTCGTGATTACTTCTGAAGTTGTTTCTAGTCTTCTACGTTCGTAAATGAATTGATTGATGTTAAAGACAGCAGATGGGTCGTGTACGCCAGGGAGGCTAGTGCTGGGAATGACGTGCACACAGAGATAATGATTAGCCGTGGTCCCACACGCCGGGAGCTAGAGTGTAGACGACTGAGGCTTGCATACGTCACCGTTACTAGAACTGAGGCAGAATGAGTGACAAGCGATTGCAGTGGTAATTGGTAGTGAGTAGATTCGAGGATGTGCGTAGAGTATCGTGAGGTGGTGCTTTGGTCACGTTGCATTCTGCAAGAGTCATTCTAGCAAGTGGCGATTGCGTTGCAAGATGTCGAGAGGAGGCTTTTATCTGGAGGTGCAGGTCGCCATCGATGTGTGAGATTGTGCTGTGGACATGTCTGTGGTGTGTTGGCTTTTCTGTTTGTTTTCCATTTCAGCTCTGTCCGTGTGGCCCAGGTTCTCGCACTAGTATCCATGTCAACGAGTACTGGTCGCGATGGGGAAAAGGGATGGATCCGTCCTTTTCAGGGGAGTGTCAATTTAATTGAAGATTGAACGATCAATTCATGGTTGTTTGCTCAATCCCAACTCCTCCATATTTTTCGTGGGAGTCATCAATACGGCAGTCATCGTCTCATCGTTCGCGTTCAGTGGAAGACAAAAACTATCAGAAGTATTATCGTGATTTGTTGTTATAACATTTATTCTTAGACCTTGTGTGTAATAACCGTATTGTTTGTTACGTATTGGCGTAAGAATAAAGGATTCTCAAGTCACCAATCTGTGTTCTGGTTTTCGCGTTGGTTATTACCGTTTTTCTTCAAGTCTTTGAGGGACAGCATGTGGTCCAACCTAGTAAGAGCAGGCCATTGACAGTTTCCGAGATTTGGCTGACATAATGTATTCTTGACCTTCCAACAATACCTATTCCATTTTTGGGTAATATACCATTAACCCAACAGATTATTTCCTCCACTATAGCATCCCTCCGGACATCATATAAAGCTGCACCTGGTGGAATTCTATCCATCTTGTTGAAAAGAGGTGGTGAGGACATTATCCTCCTAAAGTTTTTCAATCTGTCCTTAGATAATGACAGTTACCCAGAGTGCTGGAAGCTGTCGTTTATTGTCCCTAGTTACAAACTATGACCAACCTCTAATATCGGAAACTACTGACCGATCAACATCACGTCAGTAGTTTCCAGGGTTATGGAAATGTTATAGGGCAAGATATTGATTCATACCTCCGACCTCATAAATTGTTTACTCCAGCACAACACGGCTTCTCGAAAAGTCGATCATGCTCCACCTGCCTACTTGACTACTTTGATGACGTTACTGCTAAACGTGATCATGGTTTGCATGTCGCAACTCTCTTCTTTGACTTCAAAAAAGCCCTTGATAAAGTCCCACACAAGAGACTAATCCTTAAGCTAACGTCGTATAGGTTCCAAGACCCCTTGTTATCCTGGCTCATTTCTTTGTTGGAAGATCGTTCCAGGGCTGTGAAATTTGCAAATAATCACTCGTCACCCAGACCTATACGAAGTGGAGTGATTTAGGGAAGTGTAATGGGTCCACTGCTTTTCGTAATCCACATTAATGACATCTACAGCGTAATCAAGCATGGTACCCCATACTTCTTTGTTGACGACTTAAAGATTGTATACAGCTTCCACCATTCCACACTGGATGAGGGATTCACACATATTCAAGATGCATATATATTTATTCCTGTTTATGCAGGAACATACCAGTTGTGCATGCATGGATAAGTTATTATATAGATTACACATAATTTGATGTATGGTGAACTTACAGTTTGGTTGTTCTTTTGACATTAGAGTCAGTCGGAACAGTCTGCTATGAAGTCTTTTTGTGTCACATAAAGCGATATAGAAATACTGTCTTTGCATTAACAAAAAACCCAGACATCAGATGAACGCAATACAAATATCTGGGAAAAAGCTTGAAGATGATCTGGATAGGTTACATAACCGGAGCAACGACTGGCAACTGCCATTCAATTCTGATAAATGTGGTGTCCTATATTTCAGTAACTCCCATCCGAATTTCAGGTAACAGCTAGGTGACTCTTTTCTTCAAACCCTCAATTCCATAAAAGACCTGGGGGTTACCTATTCACAAAACTCAATATTCAGTCAGTACGCGAAAGCATCTGTTTCTAAGTACCGAAGACTCACAGGCTTGTTACATCGAAAAATGTACACAACTGAGGCTAACGTGCTCTTATACAAAGTCACGGTTCGTCCAGTACTTGAACACTACACAACCGTCTTCGGTTTCATGCACGGGTATGACAGGGTTCGTATTGGAAATATTCAGCGAAGTTTTACACAACACCTATTAAAAAAAACATGAAGGACTGACTTACGCTCGTAGGTGCAAGATATATGGACTTCAACCATTTCGGTTAAGGCGCTTGAAACTCAACCTTACATTCCTCTTTCGCCTTTTACACGGCTACATCAAAAGCAGTAATCCAATAGCTTTCAAAAATTTGGCCATATATACTCTTAGGAACCATGAAAATACTCTATCCATAACCCGATGCCAGGCAAAACTGCTTTGACGTTTCTTCAAAATACAGTACAGTGTATTACGGAACAAACTTCCACTTACTGTACATAGTTGCCGATCTCCTACTGAATTCCAGCGTCTCCTTAACGAGTTCCTGTCAACAAAAGAGCTTCGGTCTACCTATCCATAGTTTACCCACATAGGCTGCTCAACTAGCTTTAGTACTACAGACCCCAGTGCAATACCCCAATTTGAGGAAACTCATCTAGCCTAGCAACCGCACCTCATCTATAACGTGATAAAACCAACCCAATCTCTCTCACATGCATTGACCTAAGGTTCTGTTATTCAGCTTATTAGAGATCCTATCAATATTTCATCAATCGGGTTTGTAAATTCATAAGACTATCTCTTACTTTCCTGGACGTATAATCCCAAATTAGTTGATAATATAAGCAAACTGGTACTCTGTAATGTCTAAAGCATGCCATATGAAAAGTGGCCAGGAAAACCTAGCAATAACAAACTCAGCCAACCAACCATTTTCCTCAAGTTCGTTCAACCTACCCTTGTCCTTAATCGTACCAATATCCACTACACTCTACTCAGTAGATTATGACTTAATTTGCTCTGGTACTCAAAACTCTTCTGCCTTTTACTTTCAAAGACGTCTTAACTACTAACTGCACAGTAACCGTTTGACTAACTCACTGATTTTCTCTTCACTGTAATCCTCAATAAGTTCGTCAGTATAATTATTTCCAAAATCAATTGCATTAGCAACCATACCTTTTAATATTTTACAAATATACTTATATTATTAGTATAATGCACTGCACTATTTTTGAGTTGAATTGACTATCTTCAGACAACACTTACTCATTTTCATATAATTTTCTAAAATTCATAATGTCAAAGCTATGTAGTATTTTTCCATTGTGTAGTTGATGAGTCACTTTGCAATGTGTGACTCACACCATATAAAATTGGTAGTAAAAATTTAGCATAACAAGTTCTGCTAACCAGTTGTTTTCCTCAGGACCACTTTACACAACTTTATCACTGATTGTTCCACCACTCATATCACTCTGATAAATAGGATACAACTTAGTTCCTCTAATACTAGCCATTTTATGCTTCATAACTCTTAACAGAAACTTAATTTCTTAGTCTTTTGTATTAACCCACTTATTCACTATTATGATGATGATACTGCTAAGAATGTCCTCTGGTATTACTGTGCCCTGTGACCTAATGGGAAGCACTTGTCATGAAAGCTGTTAATGTGCAGCATATTTTATGATTTGGGCGGGGTCAAAGCAATTCAATATTACAACTGCAGTCATTGTGAAATTTCTCAGTGCTTACTGCCGGTTCTCGGTTTTTGCTCTAGCCAACTGACCTTTAGGATTTTGGCAACTTAATTCGCAAACTCTTCTCACAATATTGTTTGAGTAATATGAAGAATGGATGGTCTCATAAGCTTGACGAAGTGTGCGGGAATACACATCTGGCAACCGTATGCACGGGGCAACATCAAACCCCTAATTTTATTAAGGAAATCAACACGTATTTATGTATATTTCATGTACATTATTATAGCTTATTCAAGCAGGTTGACACGGTCTTCTGATTGGTTCTTTCTTACAGAAAGTTCACTTTGCGTCTCTTTGTGACTGTTTCTTGAATGTCAGATAATCTATACACCAAGTCTGCTGTGATTGGTTGTTAAATCAGTCTTGTTCATATTTTCCCACCACCAATATCTGCGACATACCCATTGACGTAAAATGCTGTCGACCATTTTTGGCTAGCCTGCTCTCACCACAAAACCTTTTCTAAACGCTGCTCAGTGTGTACTGGGACTGGTATGAATGAGGACCATACTTTGTGTTTGTAATACAACTTAACTGACAAATTAAAATTTCTAAGTGTATGACATATGCCTGAAACCTATTTACTTAAATAAATGTCTACAGCATATTGGAATGTTGAATTCGCAGCACTCACTTTGTTTTCGTTCATGGTCACAAATCTTTTCAAACATTGAATTTAGTTTTCGATTGATGGATCAAAGTGCGATCTGGACTTCGTTTCCACCCACGAAAATTGTAAATGATGCACTTTGTGGCGTCTAAACTTCGACGGATGTTGTTGTTATATAAGAAGAGCAAGGAAAGTGGCGTTAATGAAGACTCCGAAGTGACTGAAGACTCAAAAGTCATGTCTTTCGACAAGAAGAAATTCGACCTAAGGAGAGTAGAACTCCTCAGAACAGTAGGTAAGCCTCACTCGACCATTATCTGGACATGATATTTTCCTGAGAAGTACAGAAAATTTTCAAATAAATTTAGATATATAAGGTGACAGTAACACAGTGTATATAGTGTTTGTTTTAGATAGAAAAATAAGTTGTAGGCTTTTAGGATATCTCTTTTGTCAGCTTAAATTAAATATCACATTGTTGTAGTTTCATTACGGCGTTATGTTATTGAATAATTTGTACATATACATGTGATTATAGTTTTTATATTAAAATGAGCATCTCATTAATCTCCAGAGCATGAAATCTCATGATGTTTGAATAGATAGGTGTAGTGGTGAAAAATATTCCTATCTTAGGGCTAACACTGGGATACCCCTTATCTCTACGTCTGGCGAAATCATCCATGAATTATCTACAAAAATTTCAGCATCATACACCTTAGACAGAAAGATAACTACTTTTCATTAATTTAGCGCACTTCTGATGTTTTAGAGAGCCGAACATTCCTTAGTCTAATTCCAAAAAATATCCCTCTAAAGTAGAGAGATGTCTTCAAATAATGGTCTGTTTTCTCAGTATCTGTTCGTTTGTTACGTTTATTTCCTTTGAACGTCGCGGTTATTTCACCTTTAAAAGGCATATCTCAATTTTCAGAGAAAAGAACTAAAGATTGGCTTTCACTTCAAAGTAATTTGCAAGACATTTGTCTTTGTATGATAGTATTTTCAATTATACCTAGATTTAGGTGGAAATAAGAAACGAGATGAAATCGGAAGTGACATATATTTTAGTCCATGGACAAAAGGTTAGAAATGAATGAAGATGGTAAATAAGACAGGTTGAGTGCATTTTCACGGTTTAAAAATATCAACTTATTGCTAATAAGCTACATGGTAAACGCAAACAAAATGATGACATTATGAATTTTTTTTTGAATTCGACTAGCTACAAATTTTATCGAATTTTCCGTTTTGTTTCTCGAATCCATATGCTGTTCAGTGTGTTAGGACTTGTTATTTGTGACATAGATTTAGTGCTTAGCTAATTATTCATGTAACCACTTGAGTATTTATTTGTCGCTTGTGGGCAAACGAAAAGATGAAATAGTTACCTCACCGTAGTTGTGTTTGAGATCCCTGCATTTGAACGCCTATAACTCCGCTCCTCTCAGCAGACCCTGTAAAGCCCTAGAAATTGTAATCCAGAAGTTCTATCAAATATACAGGGAATATGGTGGCAACCGAAGTATTTTAGCTGTGTACAATAGCATTTGCGTACATAATATAAATTGTTGGCCAAAGTAATTACTAAATTTCTGCTACACACTTAAGTAAGTTATTAGCAGGTAACATGTTTTTAACCATAGTTTTGCTTACAAACTATTCTATTTTCACTGCAAGGAAATCTAAAGTTCAGATAAGCCGTAGTTTTAGCGACTATTCGCTGGCGAAACATATGACATAGTGCAAAAATATCACTTGGTAAGAATGCATAATAAGTGTATGAAAACTTTTACGATATGCACTTTCTCTTTAAAATTACCTTTAAGACGAGATGTATAAAAAGGTGTGCGAGGGAGTACAAAAGTGTTGCACAAGATAATTCCTTCGAGAAAACTGTTTGCATTTATGTAACTTTCACGGACTCGCGAGGAGTCAAATAGATAATTGCGAACGTAAAGTTATCGAAAATGAAATTCCAAACATGCAGTCGAAAATGCTGTTTCATATCTAGAAAAAGGTCGACATAAGTCTCAGGCATTTTTTAGAGAGTCACTTACAACTCAACTCATATGCTTTTGAAAATCCACTTTTCAAAGGACCACATACCGTCAGCATTTCATTTCCCTTATTCACTCAGGATTACTTCTACTGGAGATATTAGACTTCTATTGAAAAAAACTGTAACAAATATAATTTAAGTTAACTCAAACCTCTACAATCTATTAATACGAAAAATTTGAAGGTGGACTTTCTATCTCGAGAAGCAAAGTTAACCTGTCACTTGCTACCCACTTTCAAAGTTGAGGCAAATTAAACTGTACAGCGTTTATTTCCTAAACAAAATGTGTTTGGAAACTAGCGAAATATCTGAAGAAATATATTCCCGTGTAATTAATTCCTCATCAACATTTCTGCGTTAGCACATAGCTCTTCCATATAATACAGCTAAATTATATCAATTATATGACGACGTGTTAGTTAATAAGAAGACATCACTTCTAATGTTTAAGTGTGAGGACATACTTTGAACACAGACTTGGCTTACTCAGGTCGATTCTCGTTGCCCGTTTTACACGTAAAAGTCAGATGAGCATGGCATGAAGAAGGTTAGATAGATAGCTTTAAAAACTGTATTAATTTCGGTGGGATGTCCTATATCAACGAGATATGCTGTTATAGCACCACCTATCGCCATAGTCAATTGTTAACATGGTTATCACGGTTGGTGTATAGGAATTCGAAGGTAGAGCTACTCAGAAGTACGCTGCGTGTAACTAGCTCTGCAAGGACAGTTAGAATGGTGAATGCCCATGGAAGGGGACAAATTGGGAAGTTTTTATTCAGTTCGAAAAATGAGTATCGGTTAGTTGGAGCGTAGGCTACATAAGTCGTCTGCATTAACAGTCCTTCTGAAGACTCTTTAGCTCGATTTCATTAGATGTCTTTCGATAGCCTGGCTTCGATGATTGCCCATTGCATGTTTTTTCAACGATTTCATTGGAAATTCACTTCCGTTGAATAGATCTAGACTATTACTGAGTTTGTTGTGGGGTTTATAATCCAGAAAAAAAGATCGTACTCGGCAAAATAAACACTTCACCAAGTTTAGTTAATATTAAGGGAAGGAGAAAAACCCGGAAAGTGAGTATGTTGCGTAGTTGGCGTGTGTTTTGGTGCCTAACTGTACTAACTATCCCATAGACTAGTCGTATAATTAGAACATTCAAAAGTACAATAGAGCCGCAGTGCTTTTTAGTAAAGGTAATGGCTGGATGCTTTTCTTTCAGTTTCTCGACATTGAATTACTGTAAACCACCTTCCTCATAATTGTAAGTTTAACACTGACATTATGATGGCGGGATAAAAAGAAAAGGAATAAGCCATACTTACTCAACCTGGAAATACTGAATGAAAGATCTCGCCGGGAACATGAAGGTGCACAGATCAAATGGAAACCAACCATCATCATCATCGGACATAGCATAGAATAACAGTCAGCATTGAATTAGTCTTCATCAACTTTACAAAGTCAACAAAGTCAGCTACGAAATAATTCGGACACCATTTCAAAACTGCGGATTGCGATGTCTTTAGTATTTGTAAACCCCATTCAGCAGCTATATGATATTGCACTATTCCATATTACTGACAGTGAAGCGTTTGGAGTCAAGGTAGGAGCACAAAAGGACCGCTTATTATAATCGGTAATGTTGCTGATTATGATACGTCAGACCATGTAGTAGACCCTGGAGGAGGAAGAAGATGGACATACGTCGCAGCCAAAAGACACCTTGAAAGATCTGAAGAAAATAAAAGACAGATTCAGCGAAGAAAATTTTCTTCGCTGAATCTGTCTTTTATTTTCTTCATGACTCAATGGGTATTTTCGGTGATTTGAAAGATCTGAATTTCTTCGATGGTTTATGCACCAAGTCAGGCAAACTTGAAGATTTACAAGCAAAAACCATTTGGTTGGCAGAAGAGGCGGAGATGACAGAATCTCAGGTAGACATAGAAAAGACAGAAGTGATGCAACAGTCATCACCAATTGGAGAAATAATAATGGAAGTCGTCTCTTTCACATACCTCAGCAACATCAACCCAACTACAGGCAGAACGGATGACGATGTCAAAGCTACCCATGGTACGGATTAGGAAAGAGACAGGCGTTCATTACTTCAAATTCGGTGTGGCGAAACAAAGTACCTATCACAAAGAAAAATATCCGTATTTTTAGCAATAATGGCACATCAGTCAGTGCTGCTATGCGATTCGGATGTTTGACGCCCGCGTAACCAAAATAATTTCCGACAGACTGCAAACTTTTATCGACAACTGCCACTTTCTCTGGCTTGATACTGAAAGTCAGATAGCAAGAGATGGAGATGGGTTGGACATACGCTGGAGAGACATTCAAGTGATATTACAGGTCAGACCCTCAAATGGAACCCCAGTGGGAAGCGTAAGGTTGAATATCGAATATTTATTTAAACGCATAAAAAATTGGTACAATATGGCACCAAGAAGGATGCGTCACACAATAATAATAAAACAAGATAGATCAAAAGAAAAAAAAGAAGGAATAGAAAAAATATATAAGTAGAAAACGGATAAAGAACTTCATCTGGAAGGAAGACAGTCATGCTTAACAGGTTCAAACAGTACTCGTTAACTATCATAGGGAAGGGAAGACAGAAGGAAATTGCAACACGTTTGCCATTGATTACGACTCTTGGCCATATCCGATAACCTTTCGAACTATCTCTCGGACTCCAACCAGGGAGACGTGACACACCAACCGATGCTAATCTAGCACAAAAATCCTTCATCCCACGACGCGACTTCATGGACTGACCACCTCTCCGCCTTTTCCATCCCGTCCCAGGGCTAGCGAACGGAGACCTGTACGGAAGCCCCTGGGGTGACATTCGCAGCACATGTCCAAGCCACTGGAGCCAGTGTTTTCAGATGACGACACTCAATGAATGGTGATCCCCACTGTGTTCAAAAACATGACGCCGAACCTCAGAATTACTCACGCGATGATTCCATCGAATGCAGGCAATCCTGCGGATACAGCGATGATCGAACACGCAGAGTCGCCGCACATCCTCAGCTCGGAGAGGCCAGGTTTCACAGGCGTAGAGCAGGGCAGCCCGCACCGAAGCATTGTATACCCGACCTTTGACAGCCAGCTTACGTAAACACTGTCTAATCTTGCGCGTGAGCGCCTTTCGCTTATTGATGTATTCGCTGCCAGACAGAATGGACTGGCGTTCATCCAGGAGTTGCAAGGAACTCACAGAAACTCAGTGGTTTTTAGCGGAGCATTCTTTCAAGCCGCAAGCGGCTACACTCGCCCTTTGCATGGCACCTTACAGATGAAGCCAGTATTCATCTATGCTACTTGGGGGGTTGCTGGCAAGCATTGATTATAACTCATTCTGATATTTCAAAGAAGTAGCAGGTGTTACTAGTTTGCTCACATCAACGTTTAGACGACGGCTTTTATGAACCCCACCAAATCACAAGACGAACTTGCCACACACTAACGTATGATCGGAGTCCAGGCATGTGCTCCACAAGGAGCGACAGTCTTGTATGCATCCTCGCCACCGGAAACTGACAGCAACATGATCAATGTGAGTCCAAGCTTGCTTCGCAGAGGGGGGACGCCAGGTAGTGCTGCGGCGATGGCTGTGCTGGAAGTTGGTGCTGGCTAGAAATAGGTTGTGACCTGCGCATAGTTGCAGAAGACGGTCCCCATTATCTGCCCTGCGACCATGTAACCCCCACTGACCACCTAGACGATTCTCCTCTGAGCTTAGACGCCCGACCTGTGCATTCAAGTTCCCAGCCAGCACTACGATATCCCTCCGACCCGCCTGTTTAAAGAAATCGCTCAGTTGGTAGTAGAACTCATCATTCATTGCATCCGGGCTGCAATCCGTCGGTGCATAAGCAGAGATAACAAACAGATACCGCCTATCCGGCCTACTACTCCTTACTTTCGTGTAACCTTCCAGCCTCACAGCACATAAACGACTGTTAATGGGAATCCAGTCGAGCAATGCAGCTTCGG